ATGAACGGAACGGTCCGCGACCTATGAAAATGCAGAAGACGTTATGGGAAGGTAGCGTGGTCCGCAGTGAACAACCCTGTGCCAGTTTTACGGCCGAAAGTTGTAAGGTGTAGGAGTTATGCTGCAAAATTGCTCCAGTGGTACCTCCCTTTTTCCAGTGACTCCGCCTCCAGACCCGCCTCCAAAGCCTGCCTTCCAGCCAAAAGCGATGCTACCGGACAAGTAGCACGAAATGGATGCTACATTGTCTCTTGTGGGGTCATAGGGTTCATTACAAGGAGTCGGCAAACTGAAGTCGCCCCAGCAAGCGGTTTTTTTGGCATTTCACCCGTGCAATTGTTTGAGGCATAAGGGGTCATATTAAAGGTGTTTTCGCCGTTCCCTTTGGCATTTTCTCTTCACAGACGAGTCACCCGGCAACTTCCCCTCCACATTTCGCCACCAACACCAACGTTCCTTATCGCGGACCGTGCCTTTAAGGCACTCGCTATCATACGATTATCCCCGGGAATCAACATCAGGAATGAGCTTATGGAAGCAATGAGGACATTGAGGTTAATATCGTAGCGGTAGCGATAAAGAAGTCCTAAGGAATGTCACGCAAGTCGCATTCAGAGTGACTTTTAGTTGCATAGGGCAGCCCATTCAGGTAAGGCGCTCAGTAGTTACGATTTTCTGACAAAGGCCTTGTACATTGTATTACAGTAACTAACACATTTATTGTGGACAAGTTGGTCGTCCTGGTTGGGGTTTTTTACAACTCAAAACTGTTAAATACTGCTGTACTAGGTAAGCTTGATTTGATTGTTCAAGAAAGCTGCTAATACAGCGAAAGCTCACCAATAAAGTGCTTGAGTGAGTCCTCATATTTCAAAAGTAATGCTCTACTTCGCGTCTTTACAGGAATTTGCTGGTCTCACTTTGGTGAGACCTTAATATAACATGAGCTAACTAAACGAAGTAGCGAAAGCGAAAATGCCCCTCCAAGCCGAACACCGCAGCAGTTTATGATATGACATGCTTTCTTAACATTATCGATTCGCCAGAGCGACAGTGGAAAGTAGTAATGGTTCTGGTTAATGATATGACACGATATTGATATTATGTGATACGGTATGATTTTACGACACGGTATGCACCCCATATCCTGAAGATGGAGAGGGCTGTGACGTAACATGGCACGAGGTGTGACGCTTTCCCTGGGTGACTTTCACTTGAGACAGCTGTCATTCTATGTCGTGCTGGACAAGAGATGTTCTGAAACGGCAATACCCCACTAAAAGAGCAGCTCCACCATGTCTCAGGCTGAAGCACTGCTCAGTTCACGTCTCCCTTCATCTTCGCAGACATGGAAATATAAAGTCCAAAGAGGACCGCAAGAAACTGAGAAAACTACAACATAATAGTCTTTCGGATATCACGATACAGATGTTGAATATTAACGATTTCAATAAGAAGAGCTATCGATCAGAAATGAAAACTTAAAATTAATTGCGAACAGGTTTAGAGATCCCGAAAACGCGCCTGTTCAAAACCGTTCACTCGTAATTAAAAACTAAACGAACATTGGACTGCATAGCTGGCGAGGAGTGCAAGAGATCCTTCAGCGCTTGGCAGCCGACCTTCCAGCATATCGAGTCGTAGTTGTAGGAAGAAATGGTACCTGAACCCGTCACTCAGTTATAGAAAGAAAAGGATAAAACTTTGGCTCCCATCCAGAATATTTTTTTTCAAAATGTGTCCTTTGCTACGGGCCTACATTTCCCAAATATTGAATGCTTTGAAAATAGCACAGTCCACAACGCATCGTATGGCGGAGTCCGGTCCCAGTAGCGTGCCTTTTTCCTCCCACTCCTCCTTCACCGCAGTCAGAGGAGCGCCCACAACAAGAAGCAAAGCACAACGGTACGGTCTGACTCCGCTCATACGAACCAACGTGAACAGTTTCTCTCGCGATTAGAATTTGGGAGAAAAATCTCGGAAAAAAACAAAAAAGCAATAAAAATAGGTTAGTTATTAAAAAACTGGGCCACCATCTCACCTTGTGTATTCTTCGGCGAGCTTGCTTGGATCGCTCACGTAGAATTTCACACGAAAGCACAGATGGAATGGCGGACAGACCATTTGCTTTCTGATCGATTTGTTTGGATCTAACCATCGCTGAAAGTGTTGCGATTATGCAAAATCTCGACTAAAAGACAAGGAGATTTGTTTCAGGCATAGCGAAAAAAATCTGCCCCACTAAGTTGAGTATAGGGCGCCTAGTCAAGCTTGGTGGTAGCCACCAAAAAGGCACTCAGCGAAATGTCTACAGGCCCAACATAGTAGACAGCTGCGAATCTGGCAACTTCACGCGGACTTCAACGGTGGTCAAGAATAAGGCCTATAAGGTAACATGAATTGATCAAGAGGGAACTTGTGAAAGTTGGAGAAACCGCCTTCCTTCCAAGCCTTTCAAAATCCTCTCACAATCCTGTCCTGAAATTCTGAGAGAAGACTTCTGAGACTCTTCTCTCAGAATTTCAGGACAGTCCTTCCTTGAAGGCAACATGAACTAGTAAAAGAGATTAGCGAAAGTGTAAAATGCTTCTCCTAAGCAGAACTGCGCCAAATAGTACAAAGGTTCCTTGAATTTTCTCTCTTCACTGACGGTTTTCAGAGAGAGTTTTGTCATTGGTACAATGTTACCACAAGTACGGAGGATAGCATGAATCATGATAGTACGCTGTTCTGCTTGGAGGGGTCTTTTCACATTTTCGCTCTCTCATTTGCTACTTCGTGGTAAATAACAGGTCTCACTTTGGTAGGACACGTAAACTCTTGTGAAGCTCTGAAATGCTACAATGAACCACTTCAGCAATAGACAGGACTTGACAGGTCTCCACTAGGTAGCCTGGAGCTACGCTGAGTACCCTTCGGTGCCTCCATCCAGCCGAACTGCACCCATGACTGTCTAGTTTCCATCTGAAGGCACGTGTGAACCTTAAACCTAACTACTTCTACAAGCGACCTCCCAAACTAATTAAAGATCACACAGCAACTTCTTGCTTCCAACGAAATGCAGAAAATACAGGGATTATTCAAATAAATCACGTTACATTACAAATCCGGAAAAAAGCCAAAGTCGTGGCGCATCCCCGAAAGGAACTGTGTAGCGCCAAACACTCTGACCCCCTCCCCCAATTTCTAATAGTGGTTTGAGGTGATCCAATCCTTATTGTGAATCATATAAGGATCCAAATATGAGTTATACGGCCATAATGTAATCACAATAGCATGATGTGAATTTTTCTGATTGCAAAATTGTTTTCACATTGATCTCTGACTGATACGGTATTGCCGTACTAATCCAATTCATGGCGACTCCTACCTTTTGAGTCTCCTTGGTCCCTAGTACATAGAGGAATTGCAGACCAAAAAAGTCACGTTCGACCAACTCCAAATGCGCAAAGACCTTGTCGAGCAGTACAGAGCCAAGGGCGTGTCTCTGAAATCACAAACATTTAGTTATCTTATTGTCGGGGGTATCAAGCGCATTCATTTGCAAGGTCACTGAGACACACGTGACAAAGCAGGCAAAAGGTGTCTGATCTTAAACGACCGGTTTTTTCTCAGTCTCTTGTTTCATATTTTTGTCGTCTACTTGTATCGAAAAGTTCTTCGTTCGTAAAATTATATTACCGCCCGTTATTACACAACGAAATCAATTGAAACAGGAAGCCGTTTTGAAGGGAAAATATTTGAGAATCCTTATAAAATCACTAGAAATCATACGGATTGCGCAGCTAACTACTACATTGCTCCTCCCGGTTTTGCGGAATTAACACCGAAATAACCGGAATAATGGCCTTAGCGCGAAGGCGTTTGCGAACCTAGGCGGAAAGGATGCGGCTTCAACATTGACAGTTTGCCAATAGGATTGGAACCACACAGAAAACAGGGTGAGCGATCTTTGTAAGGGCACAGAAAAACCATGGAAGTAAGAGCCAGAGAAAAAAAAGCAAAAAAATCTGGAATGTGAGAGAGAAGATTCAAATGAGAGATTCCCTTCAAGATTATGGGCACTGTTTCCTTCCCCTGTTTCTTTGCTAGTTCCTGCTAAATTGCACGTCTCACCTTCGCAAGTGACCTGTAGCACTTTACATCACCAGCCTTCTGTCGGGTCGCAATCAGCGGCTCGCACCTGCGGCGTTTCCATCATTGGTTGCTCCCTCCCTAAATCGATCTTTACCCGATCGCCATTGGTAGAGCAACGAGGCCGAACGCCCATTTGGACCGCGTTGCACAGCCGCCCTCCGACAGTCCGCAATGATGAGGACTGTAGTTTCTTGTCAAATGTAAACGAGACTCCTGCTGGTGCACAGCTTTTCAGGATTTTACAGGTCCCCACAAGAGGCATCGGCAGTGAACGATGGCGAGTAACGAAATGCCCCCTACCCAGTCGCAACTGCGCGAATTATGTTTCCCTTCTATTGTATTCATTCAAGACCCTAGAGTTGGTACAGAATGAAGGGTTCAATTCAACAGGACCATGTCGAGGTGATCGTGCAAACGAGTGAAATTCCTTGCTAGTTTACTTGACCATCACAGCACCGTCTCCGGTGAAACAATTAGCTGAATTCTGGTGCGAATGCCGCTCACGTGAGGCTGTTCGCAACGCCGCCGCCCTCGCCGCAACATAGATCTGTTGAACTGTGCCCAAGTATGAACATTTTGGGAGTACTGCTTTCTTTGCAGTTTGTGGAGCAGCGAAAGGACAAATAGCATAGAGGGACAAACAAACATAAATAGATTAATAAATAAATAGAATAAAAAAAGCCATTGGAAACAGAATAAGAAAACTAGAAAGAAAGTTCCGTGAGAATTCACAATTAAGAAAATAATATTTACTGACGTCGACTTGGAATTGCCGTTCGGAGGCGTCGAGAAACGAGACTGTGCAGGTGATGGTATGTCGGGTGCTGGTGAGCAGCGACGGATTGAGCCCTTCGCTTCTGCGCACATCGTAACTGCCCGAACCGAAACGCATCGTCACATACGGTCCTCACGTCATCAGCAGGGGTAGCGGCGTCGTTCAGTACTGTTGAAATCTCTGGAACAAAATTTCCATAGAAGTAATTGAGTTCAATGAACACAGGCTATTGCGATAGAAACACAAGAATCACGTGAAATTGAGAAAAACAGAGAAAAAAGATCGTTCGAATGCGGAATTCGGAAGTCGGAAATCGGAAAGAGTAACATCATTCGAAAGAAAGTATCGCTGACTTGCCTAAAGGACCTGCTCTCTCAAAGAAGGTACAACTAAGCAATAGGTGAAGTCGTGTAAGCCTACTATCCGTTGTTTAGTAGCCACAGCTTTTCAGTACAAAGGGATAGGAAAGAAGAGCATGAGGGCCCCAGAGAGAAACGGAAAACATGGGACTTCATGGAAATCTTTAATTTTTCTCAGAAATACTCTACACATTGAAGGCTGGTCAACAATTATCACTTGAATGCTAATGATACAGATTTTTCCAGGTGAATCTGCCACCATTGTACGCCACCCAGGGACCGAAAGGTTGGTCAGGCTGGGCGAGAGCCGATGCAGGATCTCCTGAGACCGTGCGCTCTACACGCGATCACTTGCCACTTCACCACCTCGCCTTTTCCTTTTATCCTCAGCAACATATGTAGCTATCCCTGAATAGAATGCTGATACAGGGGCAGAAGATTTGACTTTAAGCAGGACTGGAACCTGCACCTCACGCTCACCAGACAAGTGGCCAATCATTACACCACCGAGGTCAACTTACATCGGCTTAACTTAATCCCACAACCAACGGGACACGTCCTGCCACTGGGGAAGATTTTTGCAGGAAACGAATCTTGGTGACCACCCCCCCCCTCTAGGGTTTTCTCCTCGTACATCCCACCTGGAGCCTCCCCAATTTTTTCTGATTTTCTGATTTTCAGAAATCTGTGATGGAAACTACCGCTGAGATAAGAGTGGTATATATAACGCGGTTGAAACAGGAAAACTTGTGAGAAATTAACAACCGAGAACATTTATCTTGAAATCAAACACGCCCCTTCCCCCTGCCTCCCGCGACCAAATACAACTCCTCTCGCTGGGGATCCCAACACACGACGTGCCCTGATAACTAAGCAAACTTGTGTAACTTTCTGAGCACGAACTATGGCGTCAAACAACTGCTATCATAAATCTCCTGAAATTACTACACAGTAATCATATAATATCATATTTATAAGATTACTAATGGTGCAATAATAATACGATACAAGATTTACTAAGTTTGTTCACGTGCGAAATTGCCAGAAAAAAAAACATAAAATGCCAGTCAAGGAAAATTCGAATCAGGCTGAAGAGGACAATCGACCATCCAAAAGCCTTTCTAAGCCCCTCTTTGGGGTATTGCCCTAAATTGCCGACGCTCTGGGAAATTAGCTTGAGAAAAACAACATTCACTCGAAATGAACCTCATTGAGAACGGCCGCCTATCACGAAAAGAAGCAAGTGGTGGCATTTTCTCGGCAGATGAGAAAATCCAGTGGGACTCAGTTTGTCAGAATATTTTCACGCTGAAGATATCTCCCATGTTCCTGGCGCATTAGCAGTTATTTTGTTGAGACAGTTCGGCTTGGTGGAGGCATATGCCTGTACAGGTTAACACTTTGACGACCTGTATGTTCCTGGGACCGAAGTGGCTCACTTGGAGAATTTAAAGGCTTCTCAAGGGTTACATGTCTACCAAAGTGGGTTTGATAGTTAGAATGAATTAACGAATGAACTGGCGAAAGTGCAAATGCCCCCTCCAAGCCGAACAGCACCGTGTTGTTTATTCATTTGTTCCTAACGAACAGAAGGCGCAATACGGTAGAGAGTTTACGGGAAGCTTGGAAATCTATGGTCAAAGAATTTTCGAAGAAAATACAGCAAGGGGAATAATGCGGACCGTGAAGGTACTGCAGCGAATCATGAGCGAAGAAAGGCAGTAGGCAGGTAATACGGTTACAATAAATAAGCAAACAAACAAATAAATGAGCAGAATAAATAAAATAAATAAGTGGAGGCAATAAATTAATAGGAAAACACCAAATATATTGAAGGAGGACAAGCTGGTACAATTAAGAAGGAAGATGGAATGGAGTGGAGGAAAAACTGGCAAAGATCCTGTGAAGGCCGCTTTACAGCTTTCACGACCCCTTTTTACGAAATTTAGGCCGGATTACTATCGAAATTCGCCCTCAAAGCTGAGTTTCAACAGAAATTCGTTCTTAAGGGCAACTTAAC